TTAAGATGCCACCTCCAATAAACTACCCATTATGATTCCTTAAGACAAATCCCGCCGCCGCCTTGTCCCCAACCACCGAACCGTCAAAAATTAACTCAACAAAACTCTTATTTGGCGGATACCATTTAACAGTTGTGGAAATATCATTAGTATTTCTTCTCAAACCTTTACCATTGGCTTTTAGATATCGCTTACCCATAGATATAGCCAATAATTTAGATCTTGTCGGGATGGGCAAAACATTTCTGAACACCATATTATTACGGTCATTCCAAATTTGCCAACAAAGAAGCAAACACAAGCTCAAATCACTAGGAACTTCCTTATCAACTTACTTTAAAGAATTTAGCCAATCTACTACAGAGTCGAAATTAGCATTAGTGAAATTGCCCGGCTTAATTGAACAAAGGTCCTAAATCAATTTAGTGGCACCATAATTAAAAAAAAAATGCATTTTGTCCTCATCTACGGAATTACAAAAAGGACATATCTTATCACTATTAGTTACAATATGACTTAATCTTTTTCTAGTTTGAAGTCTATTACGAATGAACAACCATGCAAACATCTTAACTTTAGGAAGAATATTAAGTTTCCACATCTTATTAATTAACTTATGCTTTGTAGATTGAGTCAACATCCCTTTTTGGATCCAAGTAGCTGATTTAACTGAGAACTTACCGTTTGTATTTGGACCCCAAACAAGCATATCTTTGGAATCCTGCAAGGGAATTGTAATATTACAAATTTTCCTCACAATTTCATTACTAACCACTTGCGAAAGCTTTCTCCTACCCCAACAATAGTTATCACTAAATTCACTAACTTTCAAGTCCCAATTAATGTTTTGGTTGTCAATATTGAGTAAAGGATGGAACAACGGGTAAGAAAAAACCCAATTATGGGACCAAAACAAAATGTCCTTACCATTACCCACTCTCCATCTCATACCCTTAAGAATAGCATCCCTACTTTTCAAGATACATTTCCAAGCAAAATAATGATTCTGTCTAATTTTATTATCTAGAAAACTTTCTTTTCTAAATACTTACTCTTTACTAACTTAATCCACCAGTTATCCTCCTTGGTCATTACCTTCCAGCCCAATTTAGCGAGACAAGCATTATTGAAAAGATCTAGTCTTCTAACTCCCAAAGCTCCCATTTTCTTAGGAGTACAGATCAAATCCCAAGCCACTGGAAAGATTTTCTTGTCCCTACCCCAAAAAAAAAAATATCCCTTCACTCTTTATTAAGCTTATTGACAATCTTGTCAAGACACTTAGACCTGGTTTGGTACTGAGGTGATTCTGAAAAAAGCTGCTATTTAAAAAAAGCTGGGAGCTGTTTTTGTGTTTGGTAAACACTCAGCTTCAGCTTTTTTTCACAGTTTTTGGTGAAAAAAAAGCCAAAAACAAGAAGCTGCAAAACCCAGCTTTGAAAAACCGGCTTTTTTTCACATCTGTTTTACATAAAAATTTACCAAACACTCTAATACTGCTTTTTTTTTTTTTCAAAAGCACTTTTACAAAAAAGTTCACCAAACACTCTGCTGCTTTATTTCACAGCTGCTTATTCTCACATCACAGCAGAAGCAGCTTTTTTTCAAAGCACAGCAATACCAAACCAGCCCTTAAAGCAAAACATAACATGATTAGGCATACCTGTTAGATTAGAGTCAATTAAAGTAAGCCTCCCTGCTCTCGAAAGAGTTTTTGCTTTCCAACCGGCTAGTTTTTGCTTAACCCTCTTAAGTAACTCATTACCATTAACTTGGCCTTTCCAGAAAACAATATTATGAATTCCTAGATACTTACCAATAGTAGTTTTATGTTGAATATGTAAAATATTAGCAATATCAATTCTAATTGGAGAAGTTGTATTCTTGGAAAAATACAAGGACGACTTATGAAAATTTATTTGTTGATCCGCCGCTTTAGAAAACATATTAAGGATTTGAAGAATATTCCTCGCATCCCTCGTTGTGGCCTTAGCAAACTGGAGACAGTCATCAGCAAACACAAGATTTGAGATTTTAAATCCTTTAGGGGTTTAATGTGACACTAATTAAATCTAAATGCCTACGCAGATTTCTTTATTAATGAAAATGTAAGTGATTTTCTCCATTGTACTTCTCTCTTTTTTACAGTTTTTTTATTGAATAATCAAAAGAGAATTAAGAGACAGAAACAAGATAAAGAAAGAAGATAAAGAAAGGAGAAAAGAAAAACGGAATGTGAAAATCATTCTTAAAAAAATCTCATCTTGCTTTTGCTGACTAATATTAATCACCATGAACAAGAGACTGGTTGGCTGAAATTAACTGCTCACTAACTAGGGTTCCTCACATGCATGTATTCATCTTGTATTCATCTAGGGTTCGTCACATGGATTTTTATAGCATTAACTAATAAATAGAAGCTATTATTTACTCCTCAGAAGTCTTTTTATTTACTCCTCAGACGTCTTTCTTCATATATAGAGTCCATAACCAAGGGCACAAATTTCTCACTACATTCTGTAACCTAGTGCACTATATATCTCTACAATTACCATAATGTAATTATTTGCCACACCAACTTCATTGACTCGCTAAGGTATTGAAATACTTTCAATAAACTGAACAGTTGAAGAAACCTATATTATTTTACAAATATACAAGTCTAGATTTATTTGGTGGGATAGTTATTGGTTATTAATTATTCTTATTTTATATTTTTAATTAAATTGATCGTGGATTTCATTTTACATTTGGAAGAGGTGCTAAATGGTATGTGAAAAAGCCTCATGACTAAGTAAATGACTTTAGTAGCAGCTGTAAAATCAAGGGGTTCCAGCCCACACGACTTCAGAAATTTTCAATCTGCTTGTAGAGGATTTTTTTATTTATTATTATTTTATAGGAAAAAAAAAAAAAAGAGGACCAGCTGGTGGTTTTGTCATGGCAATCCACTTTTTCGGGGACGGAAAGACTCACAGAAGTATTTCAGCCTTCCCTTGGCCACCATCGTGCAATTCACCAGCGCCAGGAAGTGAACTCAGGACGTGCTGTGTGGAATACAGACCTGGAATTCCCACAATCACTGCTTGTAGAGGATTAGCTAGTTTAATTGATGCATATTTAATTATGGGATCTTTATAGCTACAAGTCTTTATCTTGTTTGATGAAAATGGGAAGCCATTTTAATTCAATACTCTCATTTTCTCTTTTACACTCCTTTTTTTTGTAATTGTTGGGTTGAATAAATCAAAAGAAATTCAAGAGACAGAAATAAGAGAAAGAGTGGAGAAGTAGAAAATGAAAGTGTGGAAATCCATAGCTGAGAAAAAAATATGCCGTTTTCCTTGGTGACTAATTAATCACCACGAACAAGAGTTTGGTTGCTGAAATTAACTTCTCGCTAACTAGGGTTTCGCAGCTAGCGTCATTGGGAGAAACCTAATTACCTTACTCACCACACAAAGTTCATTTGAAATTAATGAATTGCAAACTTCATTTTCAACCTGTGCAAATTGAGAGAGAACCTCACAAATGATTGAGCCTACATTTTTTTCCCAAAAGAAAAGTTTCAAAGTGGCAACTTGTATTTCTTAAGCGGGTTAATTAGGTGTATATACCATGTTGTAAAGTAAATTTCTTGCATTTTAACGAAAACACACGTCAGAGAAAAAAATCCTTATCTGCATGAGGTAGAAGCAGCTTGCTGCCGCTGAACTTTTGCCAGCAACTACCGGAGTGACAGCCATGTAGGAACCAAAACGGAAGAGGATTTACAAAGAGTCAAGCACAACCAAAATAACCCCAAAAAAAAAATCCACGGCAAAAATCAGACCTCCGAGCCCTGCAATCGACCAAGCGATCTAGATCCATACCCCCAACCACCACACTTACAAGAAGAGAACCAAGTTGACACAACACGGATGTGGGGAGGGCCAAGGGGATGTGTAAAACACCCTTATTGGGACGGGGCCACATAACACTAACCCAAATTTCTCGGCATGTTGCGGTGAAACAAAATGCAGTGGGATAGAGATCTACATTCCAAATCGAGTTCAAAACTTGAAGATCTGATTTTTGGTAGGGGTCGAATCTTCAACTTTCATTGAACAAGGAAGGCAGATACAAATTCTTTAATAAGCTAAGTTACGATTGATAGTTAATAAAGCTTATCTCCCAGCTCAACCAACCGATTGACAACAAACAACTTACCATGGTTTACAATAACCCAACTAACAATTAACCGAGGTTACATATATCGACAAACTATTAACCCACAGTAAGACAAATACAAGAAAAAGTAACTAATATTGACATACCAATAAAGGAATGCCATCTAGCATCCTAACAATCCAATGATATTTTTTAACACATGTTTTATTTATTTAAAAAATAGTGGATACGTTATTAATTTTTCTTGAACTTTAGAAAACAAAAAAATATATATAACACATTTTTCTGAGGCTAAATTTGAAAGTGAGTATGTAAAATACTTGAGTATTATCCATTTCTTGAAGTCCAAACCTAAAGTCTAACTAGTTTCCCTAAAAAATAAAAAATAATAATAATCTTAAAGTCTATCTTGAATTCCAAACTTAAAGGAATCATACTGAAGGATATGATTTTGATATTATATTAGAAAGAAAATTGTAACGTGGACAAAAATAAAAATTATAAAAAAATCTTCGCGTTGAAATCCGGCTGCTGGAGCCAAGACTCACGAGTGTGCAGCCATATGTTTAAAACTTGAAGTTGCTCCTACACTTATGAATCGAGATGTTTTTCAATATCTTGCAATCCGGAGTTGACGAATTGAAAATTTTCGAATCGCTCATCTAAATCTTATGACCTCGTTACTATATTTCACTAGTCCACTTTGCACAAATTTAAGGTTCATATTTTTCTCTTTCTTACTTGAACGATCTAGATCTGTACGTCGGTTTGGAACTGCAAGATGTAGAGAATCTGAACTCCTATACTACACGTGTAATAATATCATTGGCTCGAATAAAATTTTGTGTTTTATTTAGTACACAGGCGATCCGAATCACTTAAGTCTACTTTGTTGTTCTTCCTGGGGATCTGCCAACCTGCCACCACAAATCCCCTCTCCCCTAATCGCCGATCGTCCCCAACTACTCCGGCTATTTCTCCGATAAGGTACGCCTCTCATAAATATCTGACGTCATCGTCATCCTTTTCGTCGTCATGGTAGTTCGATTGTGGGATTTTGGGAATTAGGTTAGGGCCACTCTATGCCGTCTGTCTGAATCAGATGAATTTTCATATCGAAAAATTGATTTGTTTTTCGAGTGATTATTTCACTTTTCAATTGTTTTACTAGACCCTAAACCCTAATATTTGACTGATGAAATTACTGTAATTTGATTATTATCAATTGGAATATAGTATTACTTTCTTTGAGTTAATTGAAGACTATTTGCAGAAACGTTTGAGGTTATTGAAAAATAATTGTAGAAATGTTAGAGATTATTGAAAAATGTTTGGAATTAGGGTTATAGAAATGCTTGAGATTAATAGTGAAAGCATGTCTTAGCTGAGATTTTAGTAGCAAGTTCGATCATTTGAAACAAGAAACTATTTAGATCTAAAACATGATAAGAGCTTTAAATCATGTAAAGTGAGGTTATGTAAAATAGTTTTTCGGTGCAGGATCGGAAGTTTCTAAGTAGGTTTGGCAGATTGACTTTGAAATCGTTATGTTTGTAATATACCCTGCACGTACCTCTTACTCTGTATCTTGTCATTGTTGGAATCTCGTCGTCGTTTTTTTTTTTTTTCTTATTGTTGTTCTGACTTTGCAGAGATTGTAAGAATGGCTTCATTCCGAGCATTCTTGAACAGTCCAGTTGGTCCAAAAACAACTCACTTTTGGGGACCTGTTGCGAACTGGGGATTCGTTGCTGCTGTATGCTTTAGCCCTATGATTTCTTGCATACAAGAATGTGTTTGAATTCAATTGCAATTTCATGCTTTTTTGACTAATCTGATCGTACGGGTTTGATTTAACAGGGATTGGCAGATATGAACAAACCTCCAGAAATGATTTCTGGCAACATGACAGCAGGTCCAATAACTCGTTTTGAAAGATGTAAATTAGTTTCAGTATTATAGTACATGGCAGGATTATAACTGTGGTTCGAATTTGTTTCTGCAGCAATGTGCGTTTATTCAGCATTGTTTATGAGATTTGCATGGATGGTACAACCTCGAAACTATCTACTTTTGGCGTGCCATGTCTCAAATGAGACTGTCCAACTCTATCAGCTCTCTCGCTGGGCGAGGGGTCAGGGGTAAGTAGCTAATTGGTTTCGTCATCAATTGCAGAAATTTAGTTGAGTCGTCAATTGCCATAACTTCTGACCTTTTGTATCAAAATGAGTTGAGACTAAAACATGTGAGATTTGTTCTTGTTGACTTGCTTAATGATAGGTACTTGGCCCCGAAGAAAGATGAAGCTGCATCCGAGTGATTTGCTGCTGCTGCTTTCATTCCCTTGCTCGTTCATTGTTTTTGTTGCGATTTTTACTGAAAACACTGTTGATCGCGTGTGAGACGCATGATGCATCTATTGTTTATTTAAGTCAAGGCCTTTTTTTGGGTTCATAAATGGTTGTTTTTAGTCAATTGTGTACAAGATTTCTCAAACTTAAACCTGTCACTACTCGTTTCGGCGGTGACATTTGAAAGTAATAAGGAATTTTACCACGATGAGGTCTAAGGCACTGAATTTTGAAACTGAAAACTTGCACTTTCATTGCAGCAGGCCATCAGAAAATCACTTGCTACCCGAAAAATAGGTTAAACCAACAATCTTTGGATGCAAAAGCTAATTTTGTTATAAGTTTAACACCAATCTGATTAAATAGCAAATGTACCGGCTCCCGAAAGAGACGATTTACAACATTGTCAATTTCTTCCTATCAAAAAATTGTCAGGCAGCAGTGGCCTCCACCCTTTTAGCGTGTTCGGCCTCTCTTCCCAGTTACATGAACATATACTCCGTCCTTTGGCCCCAACGGGATCACGATGTGCTATCAACATCTGCACGGTTTAGCCTTTTGCTACTTTTTTTCGATTTCAACTTCTTGCATCCACTCTCTTCAGAAGGTTCCTTCTCGCTTCCTTTATTTTCCTTGGACTTCTTCCTTTTCACAGGTGGTGTTTCGCCGTCATCTCTCCCACCAAAAATAGATACTTCTTCCTTGTTTCTGCCTTTCGTTTTAGCTTTCTTCTTGCTTCCATTCGTTTCCTTGGATTTGTTCTTTTTCACACGTCGTGTTTCCCCCTCATCTCTCTCAGCAACACTAAGTTCATCACGCTGTAGCCGATCGGTTGGGGGATTGACAATTTCTGCTTCTGCAGAATAGAAGGGAAAGCTTGTCGCCAAAGTTTGCGAAAAAGTTACATGATATCACTACTTTCAGATATAGGAAATAGGAAAACACACCTTCATCGGCAAAATTGGAATCAAAAAGAACGTTTGACAAGTGCTGCTTCAGGTAAACCTGCACCATTCAACAAAAACAACTGGTCTAAAAGAACTGCAAAGTGAAGCATACATCATTCTTACTCGAGTATGCAAGAAACCATGAAATTTGGAGTCTATGTAATTATAAACATAAGACGTCCTCAGGCTGGCTGGCCAATGGCCAGCTTTTATAACTTAAAAACAATAAAGTAGAGAAACATACCGCAGATAGTAATTGCCGTGTCTTCACATTCCAAAGGCGTAGGTAGCTATCCAATCCTAGAAGAAAGAATTTGAGGTCAGTGAATATACAGATATTTTTGGTTTCCAAACAGTACTAACGACACCAATAAAGCTTAATGCGAGAGAGAGATAGAGCAGTAGTTTTGATAATGAAAACAGAAACCGTGCACTCACCACATGATGCTATCACTGGAAAGTCGGGGTGCCTTGCAATGGATCTTATACTACCTGAACACTTACCCAAAAAGCATCCTAACAATTTCCCTGTAGTGAAACACAGCATTAATAGTCGGAAAAGAAAGATTACAGAGTTGCAAAAACAACATCAAGGAATCTATACTATCGTTCCAGGGGGGCAACATAGAACCAGTTTATCCCTACAATGCCCTCAAAAAGTGCAAAGGGACTTCCATAATGTACATTCCTGATACAGGCAGTTGATACACCAGTCGTTCCATAATTTAGGTAGCAAGTATCATGCTCAACAGATGGCTATTGCTTACACCTAAATTTCTAATCATGCCAAAATCCATAACTCAACTACTTTTGCCTATTCAATTCAAATTGTTCTTAATTTTGATTAATGGTACAGAGTTCCTACACGATCTAATCTGACCCCACCACTAATCAGAATGTTCTAACAAGGTCAATGCACCTGTGCGTATGTCAAAAGAAGCTAGGTCGCCAGATCCATTCCCTACATAGATTGTGTAGCCATCTAGATCTTCAGCTACAGATTTAATAGCAGTCTCCTGGAAATCAAATGATATGACAGGTCTTCGCTGAGCAGAAATGTCATAGAGACGAACCTGTTGAATAAAAAGAGTCATAAGGTTATGAAGAACTTCTAATAACCTGATACTGTAAAGAGAATACTATATTATAACAATTGAAATGCAGAAAAACTGCCTGCCCGTATATTATGTATAAACTGTTAGTCTTTCAAGGGAATGAAGAACTTCTAATATAATTAACAACTTGAAGCATTCTTACAGAGTACATAAAGAACGGGGGCACGTTCCACAGGTAGTTTATTCCCAACTTAAAATAACAACAAAATCAATCCTAATTAGGAGGTTATTACCTCATGACTGTTGGTGCCAGCAACAAATTTACGATGATCATCTTTACACAAAAATGTGGCAGATGTGAACCACGTTGGGGTAAAGATGCCAAGGCTGTTTTTAGGAGGCTGCTCAGGGTAAAAAATTATAATAAATGTCGGTCAGACTGTTTGCGAAAAACAAGTGTATATGTATCACAAGATATAATGGAAGGAGATAGAAATGCTTACAGGTTTGGCTGTCCATATCTTGGCACAGCTGTCAAGATCCCAGACACTCATCTCAACACGCTTCCTGAAAGTGAAAATAATAAGGTCGCTGCTTAGGCCAAGTGATGACAATCTTTGTTTAATGAAGATAAGTAGATTTCAAGCCTCCTAGAATAAGTTACTCGACATGAGAACTCACCCTCCAAATAAGAAATAATTTTCACTTCCATCCACTTTAGAACATGAGATACTGCCACCGGCACCCACACTCCATGTTGTTGAAGACCCAGAAGAAGCAACATCTGCTGCTGGTTTAGTCAATTCAAAGGATCTTATGCTTGCATTTCCATTTGTTGTACATGTAAGCAAAGTGCAAGACCTAGCAGCGAGTAATTTAAAAAAATATTAGCAACTGTATGCATAGAGGGATAACTCCACTTATTTCAATAACATTGGCATAAGAATATAGAAGAACTTGAGACGCCCCTCACACGTTAAAGCTTAAGACAAGTTGGTTTTCAGGGGACATTTATATAGGTTGGTATACATGCTAACAATTGAACTAAAACGAAAAACAAACAACTGAAAAACATGCAAGAGGAATCCACCGGTGCACGTATGATTAGCATTCCACAAACCAGTGCACCAGAAAGTGGACCTATACAATCTAAGTGTAATGCAACACACTCAAAATTGGAGTAAAAAAGTATATTAGAAAATTAGTGAACCTAAAATTGAACACCCAAGCATAACCAACCCCAAGCATCCTAAAATGATTTAGTACCCTAAATTTATTAGAAATTCCAGCAATCAACTTATGTCGCAAACAAAAACTTTGGGATTGTAAGGTTTCTCATTGTCGTTGGTATTGACAGAAAACCAGGAAATCACAGAAGTCATCTCACCTAGAAGCCAATTCCGAATTCTTTTTGGCAAACAAATGTAATCCAGCAACAGGGTCGTCCCCACCGTTATCACTAGAATTGGTGACTGCGAAGCGAAGACCGCCATTAAGAGGATTTAGAACCTCAATCTGTAAGACATACAAGCACATAACAGTTATCAGCTAACTAATAACACGGAAACCCCGAATTGCTCCCACATATTCATAGTCCAAAGACGCCACTCACCGTCCCATTTCTTCTGGCAACAGCTAGTAACTGCAACATTACAAAAAGGGGGAATTTTAATCACTCACTCCTTTCACATTTTTACCCCAAAAAACACAGAGCATAAAGCAAATTCCGACACACGCATGATAAAAATGCAGTCTTTCAATAACCCAAAACGCATTATATTCACCCTATATAATTTCTAACTCAAAAAACAAGCAGAGAAACTGATACCGGGTCGGATTTTCGGTCATCGATAGAGGCGGCGAGCACGCTTTTAGACGAATCGGGTTCGCCCCATCTCTCAACCACCTTAGGCTCTGCCCTTCCTTGCTGACCCCGAGCTTCAATAACTAGAAAAAAACGAAGAGAAAATTGAGTTTTAGACATTTAGCAAAAGAATTAGCGGTTGATGCTGGTTGATTGAGAAAAGAGCAGGAGAAGATTTACCTTTGATGAGACCAAGCTCGTCGAAGGTTAGAGCTCGAAGTGGAGGGCAACCTGGGCACTCGAGAGTGGTCGTACGAGGCATGGTGGTTTTCTTTATTTCTCTGCTTCTAACTCAGTCGCAAACAGGTGGGAGAAAGACAGAAACCCCTTAAACCCTAGCTTTTCAGTAAAATGCTTTTTGGTACCCTTGTTTTTAGGTAATTCTCTTTCTGCCCCATGCTTTACCATTGTTTTACTTTTTAGTTCATTTATTATTATTATTATCTCTACTAGTCTCTACTAATCTCTACTATCTCTACTAATCTTTACTAATTAATAAAACCCTATTTGTTAACTAAAAGAGAGTGAAAAGACAAATTAGTCTTCTATCACACAAAAAAAAAATTGATGGGCAATAATGTAAGTTCACATGTCCAAATTTTAGTGTTTTTTTATTGAAGCCTCACCTACAAGTGATCTTAAAATACCTTCAATATTATAAAAAAATAAAAAAACCGAAAACAAAAACCTCACACTCCCCCCACGTTCTCTCCCTCTCCCTCTCTCCTTCTCATTTTCTAAAAAAAATATGTTCATACACACAAAGTGTGTAGGCAAATGCTAGTTATTATTATCACAAGTACGTATTTGTAGATGAGTTGAGACCCTTTCCTGAACTCATTGTTCGGCGCTAAAGACCAGCAAATCTGAATTGTTCAAGAGAGATAGAAAGATCTGGGCTCTTGGTTTTAGTGAGATGGCCAACAGAATGAATTAATTGGAACCGTCAGATTGAGTGATATCAATTTGTTGGTCCTTGAGCTCTAGACAAGAGATGCGGAGAAAATCTCAACTTTTTGTATACAACTACTATCCTAATACTAACACTTCGTAAATGATCAAGGCAAAGTAAAATTTTCTAGATTTGACTTTGGGATGTCACGACTCACGGCAGTTTTAATTTCTCAAATCACATGTAGCTAAAATTCGTAGTCAAAACTAGAGAGCCAAAACATTAAAATTCATAACTAATACCGCCATGGTGGCATCCTGTACCACGAAAGTCTGTATCCACAAAAAAAAGAAACAAAAAAAGCGCTAAAAGATCAAGGTCTTCAATCAAAACATGAATTTCAAACTGTAACACAGGAAAATGTCTATATATACAAGTAATACCCAA